GGGGTTGCATGCTTAGGCCTGTGCCCAGCCCCTTGACAGTGATCTTCTGTAGCAGAGTCTTTTGTCTCCCTCACCCAACTTGACAACACATATTATACCCAAGTTGCCTCTTCCCTCTTATACTGTAGAATTATGCTATAAAGTGAAACCTATCTACCAATGAAATAGCTAGAGGGACCCAAACTTCTGGAGCCACCCAGAGGAGTATCCTAGTTCTAACCCCACAGCCTAAGTCTTCTTGCCCATATCTTCCCCTAACCTATTGCTCACTAGGGAGAAAATAATTATATTTTTAGTAGTACCTGTATTGCTCATAGCTTCCATCTTTAAGGCCTAAAGGGGAGAAAATATTATTGGTTATGTAGCAATGATCACAGGAGTGAGGGGAAAGCACATTGTAAGGCACAATTTAAAAAGGGGAAAGGCATCTTATTAAAAGAAAACACATTGCTGTCTGTGAAAGTTTCCAAGCAGAGAGATTTAAGGATCTGCACTCTGAGTGAAGATTTTGGTTCCATCCCCTTGGAGGAGAGGTTAAAAGTCAAGCTCCTTGTTTTTAAATCTACATTGTCTCCCTGATATTGCAGTATCTGGTAAGACAAGTTGTTTGGAACAGAAACAAGTTAATGGAACAATTAACCTTACATGTGTGGCCACTGGTTAAGCCCCCAACACTTTCCCCTATTGCTGTTGTTCTCCATTGCAAATGTACTTAAAAAGTTAACAAAGCATATGTACCCCTTAAACTGGTCTCTGGTTTTCAAAATCTTACTATGACTGCTTGGTTCCCAGTGATTGTATCAATGCAGGACAATAAATTTAGCAGAAGGTAGATCGTTTGGGAAGTTCCCACCCCAGAATACTTCAGTTGAGGCTAGTAAGGAGACCTTACCATGTGATCCGTGCACCTCATTATTTTGTCATTCACACAATTATCAGAAAATACTTCTATAAGGTAATGTTCAACTTCTGATTACAGTATACCCTCATCTAGTTTTCCTGCTTAATATAGTTAATGGTTCATCTACAAGTCTTTTGCAAAAGTGCCATCTCAGTTTACTTTAAACACTCTTAAAAAAGGCGAAGATAAGAGACCCCTCACCGAGTTCCATGTTCCGAGTCCTTGGGTTACATTGCTTATACCCTTTGCAGCTTCTTAGTTCCATGAGCTGCACGTGCAATTGAATTGAGAACATCTCTGTCTAGTGTGTTCACTGCATTAATTAGCTGCAGATTAAAAAGTTTGGTTTTTGTTAAAGTCATACTATTTATTCAGTGGACATTGTGGTAACATCTTTTGGATGCTCACCAAGAGGTACATTATTAGCAACCAAATACCATACATTACAACATGTAGAGGCTCCAATCACTATCTCCAAGGCTAAATTGGCATTCCCAAGCAAATGACTATGTTATGTGTTAAATTAGTAAAGTTGATGTATTGGCTACAAAACTCTACAGCCACAGATTAACTGTAAAAAGGGGGATTATAATAGAGGGAGAACGATGGTAAAAACTCCTGCAGCTGCCTCCCCCTTCTGCCCAGTGGGTTTTTTGGGGAAAGAAGGGAAGGCAAAGTTGGTAGTGGATACATACACTGGAGTGCAGGCTGAGCTGGCCTACTCCAGAAGGCTAGGTCCTACTTGACCCACATTTCCTCACAAGGAAACAACCTTATTTGCGTCTTCACAGTATCTCTACAGACCGACCTTCACAAGCAGAAACCTATTGGCCATCAATGAGGATCTTTACATACACAATAAATGCAACCGTAAGTCTGAACTATGCATCACCATTGAAGGCATGCATTTTGGCCAACAACAAATGGAAATGTTTTGTGGGCCTTTCATGGAAAAGAATCTGCATCACCAGATATATCAGTTGCATTTGATAATGTAGACAGAGGAAGGGTCATAGATCCATTAGCAGAGCACATCACTCTCTTTTTCACATGCTAAAGGGGCTGGGAAAGACTGGTTCAAAACCAAAGAGTGCCATTATCAGTCTGTGTAGATCAGGGATGGGGAGCCTATGGCCTTCCAGATATTGCTGGACTATAACTCCCTTTATCTTCTACTATGTTGCCTGGGGTCAATGAGAGTTGGTGTCCAACAACCATCTGGAAAGCTGCAGGTTCACTTTCTCTGATGTTGACAATACAGAGCTGTATGGCTCAATAGCAGGCTTCCTCAACCTCGGCCCTCCAGATGTTTTTAGGCTACAGTTCCCATCATCCCTGACCACTGGTCCTGCTAGCTAGGGATCATGGGAGTTGTAGGCCAAAAACATCCGGAGGGCCGAGGTTGAGTAAGGCTGCTCAATAGCCTGACTCTGTGACCTATATTCCCAATAAAATTCATCCATTTGTTCTATTTATGTTTAAGAGCATCTTGGGTGGAGGAGGGATGTATCTCCAAATAGAAAGTGGATATATTTTCCAATGCATTGGCCTCAAGCGTTTACCTAACCTACTGCATAACAAACATGGCTGTTACTTTTAAGGCAATTGTCAAGAAAACTAAGTTAAATATGAGTTTCAGCTTCTATTCTGAGCTCTGCACAAGGCTGAATTTGCAGAAATGTTTTTTCCCCCCTGCAAATCCTGCCACTCTGGTTACTTGCTTTAAAAAAAAGTGCAGGATACCTGGTACGGATCTGTGTTGAGATCAAAATATTCAAGGAAGCCGGTAGCAAATTCACAGAACAGGAAGTTGTGAGTCTCGTTGATTGTCCTCATACACCAGTATGTGTTGTTGTTTGCACTGGTACAGGCACAGAATGGACCCACTGCAAATACAACAGTAAGAATAGTTAAAGCTGAAAGTTTATAATAAAGTACTGTATGTTGTGAGATAACCCATAAATCAAGGTAGTTCCTACAAATGCATGGCCACACTGGGCTCTCCTGCCCATTTCAAGCAAGACCCTATCTGTACATTCCCTTTACATGCAATGGTGCTTCCAATGTTGCAGAAATGGAGGATCTTTTCCAGGCCACATTTCCTTGTAAGTGACCTTTTGATGGTTACAAGCCTGTGCAGAAGCAACTCGTCTTTTTGAACAGTGGGTTACATTCAATCCACACAGAAGTCACAGCTGTCTACATACATACACACACACACACACACACACACACACACACACCATTCCCCATCTAGGCAAGCAAGAGGAAATATGATTTACTGACACATTCCAGCTAGGTCAGAGAACTCAAGGTGGGCATGAACCCGAGTTGGCAGGGGCATGGCCTGGAAAGAATTTTGAGTGCTGCATCAATAGACTTGAATGGTCTCATTCAGATCCCTAACCTGTGGTTTCCCACTCTTGTTCTGTTGAAAGGAATGCAAGACACTGTGCATAGCACTTTGGATCCCATGCTTAGCAGTCTCGTATTATCTCTGAAACATCAGTGCTGCAGATGGCATTGTAAAGGGAGCTTCCCTGTGGATGCCTCTCCCTCACAACTGAGTCTCTGCAGCCAGTTCCCCACCACCACCACCTCTGAGATAAAAGGGGCAGGGCTCCCAGCTCCAAAAAGGGTGGGGTTTGGGAAGTTATTAGCACGAATGCCTCTCATCATGGAAATCAGCCACAGGTTTGTTTAGTTCTCTCCAATCTGCACTAAAGACACAGGGTGATGATAGGTCTCTCAGGGATATAGGAGAGGCAATTCAGTTTTATTTGGCTGATGCAATTGCATGCTTATCTTACATGTCCACAAGGGGGCAGTCTGCCAGTGCTGGTTGTCATGGGTGAAGCAAGTCAGGCCGGGCATACTGCACGTGTCGTTGTTTTTAATCCTCTTGAGCAGCTTCCTCAGCTTCTTCTTTCGCCTCTGCTCTCGGAGGAGCCACAGCTTGTCCTTCTCTTGAAGGGCTTTCCTACAGCACAGAGACAAGGGTGCAGGGTGAACTAATAGCTCGTTGCATAACTTATACCAGCAAATTCATGGGGCTATCAGTCGCTACTGATCAGAATGGCTATGCTCTTCATTCATTTCCTGTGTCTGGCACAGTCAAGAGGAAGGCAGATGAGGGCACCTTCAAAGAGAGTGCACTTTTCTCTATACTCTGAAATGGCACAGTCCAGAAATCCAGGTAGTGGATTGTTTTTGCTGGAACAACACAACCAATAGATGCAATCCCAAATGTTTCCACATTGCATGTGAAGCACACCCACTTCCCACAATCCTTGCCCTCCAACCCTTACCAATTGTTAACTATGACCAAGATGTGCATGTGACTCCTAGAGGCAGAGGTCGAATCCTTATCATTTCCTTATGCTTCTGGTTATGCTTTTTGTTTGGAACTACTGCAACAGAACTGAATTTCGGAGCATTTCACATTTGCTACTCGTCTAGTGATGCCTGCTTGCACTTACTTGAAAGGGTGGACACCAGAACCTTTGTGCCTCAGTTTGCCTTTGTGCTTAGTATGGAAGCTGCAAGACAAAAAACCCAGATGTACAATTATCTAAGAGACGATTGTTAAGTTGTGGGTGAACATATCAGATGACACAGCGATTCTTCAAACAGCTCTTGTTTATTCACAGGCCAGAACAGAACTGAACTGAAGGGTTCAGCCAGCCTGCTTATATAGAGCTCCACTAGAACGCAACAGTAACCATTTTCTGTAACTATCCAATCACTGAACGTCACTTTCAATCCCTTATTTGTATATGTGGACCTGAACTATCTACAGTATCCCCCTGCTGGCCCAGGGTGAGAACTTCAGTACATAACAACGATCTCTGCTCCGTTTATTGTTTTTTATACTTTCACTTCCCCGTAAGCTATAGGCAGCTTATGAAACTTGACAAAAACAACATTAAAATATAAAACAAAGGCATTAAGGTTCACTAAAAGGAAAGCAGAATTGAAGTAGAGGCAAGAGACAGAGGAGGAGGAGGAGAGAGAACCTACCCCCACAATACAGAATAATGGAGTTGAAAGGGACCCTGTGGATCATCTAGTAGTCCAATCCCCTGCAATGCAGGAATATGGACCCATACAGGGTTCAAACCTGTGACCTTGGCGTCATCAGCACCACGCTCTAACCGACTAAGCTAACCAGCAAGGCACACTATTCCCACCAAAAGCCAATATGGAAAGGGAGGGCTTTGTACTTTCTACATACGTTTGTTGTTGGTTAAGAACAAGATGGGTACAATGGGAAGTACGAAAAACTTTCTGGTCCCTTTCAACATGTTTTTTGCTCTCTAGAATTTCTCACTTTTTGTTTCCACACAGAAACAAAAAATGAAATATAACATAAGCACTAGAGCAGGAGAGATTCTCCACCACCACCACCACCACCACCCCATGTAGCTACTTCAGGTCTAGTTTTCGGAAAACAGTAGACAAGGAAGGAAACCTGCTTCTTGGTTTTACTACTTCGGACTGCAGGGCAAGCATTCCTAGCAATTCCCTGAACAAAAAGCGATAATGTAACGGAGAAGGGCTCTAGCCTAGCTGTGCCAATGGCACGCCCGTGTTCTAAATGTAGGGATTTATTTATTTATGGGTTTTGTTGCTGTTAGTTATGGAACAGGAATTTCTGCCATTAACTTTACAATTTTTAACTAATAAAGGATGAATTTTTAACTAATAAAGGATGAAATTTAATTTTATCATGGAACGTAAATGTTTAAATAATAGGAGGAACTTAGTAATCCAATTAATACTATCGACTTCCGACTATACGAATTTTGGGTTCTGAGAAATATGTGAACTCCCTTTTCGAACAGGATGTTCTAGTAATCTCCATATATCACGTAAATCAAAATCTTACCATTTCCATAAAGCTTTTTGGCAACTTCCTTCATTTCCCCCCTCTTCTTCGCGATTCTAAAATCAATCTGGTTCCATTACTCCATTAAATCCACTAACACAATAATTCTCATATCTATATATTCCATTAATAATATCTACTTAACATAGAATTCTGATTTTCTTTTATTTATCCATAGATTCCCGCTACTACAATTGGTTCCCCTCTATTGATATTTTGACTATTACAATCTCCCCTCTTCTGTCTTCATATAACATTCTGGTTCATATTTGCCTTAACATACATTAATACCCCTCTTTTTTCTTTACATCAGATGCGGATGAATTCTTCCCCTAAACTTTGGTTTTACCAATAGTCTTTTATGCTTAGTATTGATGTGGGTTTCTTGTAAACAAGCAAGGTCCCACTTCTTGCCTCTCTAATAGTACGATTTCTATTTTCT